ACATTGACCCTGCAAGCAAAGTGACAGTTTATGGTCGATTTGAACGAGAAAACTATAACCAATAGAATAGTGGAAAAAGTGTGAAGTGCACACATTTATGTGTGAGCCGTACAATATTGCTTTTCTGAAAGAGTGAAACTTCTGCTGACATATGCGCCTGTTCCTTTCATTTTTAAACCTGAGACCTGAGACTGCACCACAATAACCGCGTTATTGTCTATCATGAGGTTATCGGTACACGTCAATACGTCTGGATAGGCCAAAAATTGGTGGATAGAGCGCAAAATGCTTAAAACTGTTGTGTGATCGATAGAAAACAAGTGTCCTTTTGTAGGAGAGGTGCAGGTTGCGCAACGATCTTAGCGGAACACAGCTATAAGGCGGCAATAATATGACAGCTAGTTTCACGCGGATGGGAATCGCTTCAGCTGATTTTGGAGTTGGATACGCCTCAATTTTCCCAGTTTTAAGGGAGCCGCACCGGATCTTTCGGCTGAGATTTTATATCCTAGGTAGCTCAAGTTCCACTGGAAAGACGCATACATTTGTTGCTTAGGCGTCAACCCTAGCTGTCGGATTAGGTCCAAACCAAGTCTACAGTTGGCGGTGTTCAGAGACTGTACTCGGTTTGTTGTTTAGGCATCAACCCTGGCTGTCTGATTAGGTCCAAACCAAGTCTATATTTGGCGGTGTTCGGAGACTGTCATTTCGTACTCGATCGTGCCATGCTGGTGGATTAGTTGTTTATCCGGAACTGGCCCTTTCAAATTTGTATAAATGAGGGGCTGTAATGTGGCTGAGGTGTCGGTTAGTCCAAACTAATTAGTTTTGGGCTTTTATAAGTCTGATAGAATCACTAATAAGTCGTTAAACGGATGTATTTCTATTTGCTAGTACTTAGGGTTTGGATTCAATGTGCTGAACCAGGCTGCATCTCCTAGGGCGCCAAAAGGACCATCAGCTAGGTGCAGTGAGGACGGTCTTCCGGAGTGTCTGCTTTCAGCTTGCGATGGCCAATACAGGAAAGTGTATGCTGGCGAAGCCAACGGAATGTTTGATGGTCTTTGTTCAGCATATCATGAGTTTGGTTTGAATGTTTTTCTACTGAACCAAGACACGTCCCAGTTATAGGCAGGTGGGTCTAGCGTCTCCGGTGTCGGTGTAATTTTGCACATGATTCGTCCAAAATCTAAATCCACCCAGCAAAACATCGATGTACTTCAACAGAATTTCCCTCATTTCGGCTTTCTCCAACGAGTTTGGCATAGGTGGAAGCCGTGACAGTAGTACGTCTACATTGGTAGACATGGCTGAATGGCACTCATATGAGGCGTCAGAAGTCCCCGTCAAATTCGATGGCGCCTGCAGAAAGTTCGATGTTTATGCATTGGCTTATCAAGGATCCTACTCTAATATGACGTTTCACGGTGGATTATACGCCACTAACATGGGCTGGTGGAGTCTAATTTGCCGGAAAGTAAGTGGTGCCGGCAGCCAACTATTAGAATGAAGTATTGCACTTTTAGCAGCTACGCGTTTGAACGAAGAACGTCTTAAGTAGTTCTTAGCTATCGGTACCATTTTGGCACGAATCAAGTAATATAACATTGTTGTGTAAAACAAAATTCTAAGCCGCCCATTTCAAGCACAACAGTCTACCATGGAAGGTGCCAGATGTGTATTCGAAAAGTCGAAAATGCAACTTGGGACACATCGAAATTGACTGAACTCAAGTGTTTTTTTGTTCACAGGTCTGGCAGCGCATTCGGACGCGCTCGCATCTGGGGCAGTCACCGCTCTAAGCTGGCTACCAACAGTCCTTGATTGAGGTAGGTGTTGCAGTGTTAGGTTCAACTACGTTCGGTTGGAACCCAGTGGCGTCGTTTGGTATAGCCCTTCTCTATTCGAGGTACGTGGTGTAATCTCTTGTTGTTGAAGTTCGCCGTTTAGGATTCCAATCACCATTCGTGATGCCCGTGGAGTGAAGTGCTCTGAAGAGCGGATTTGACACCAAGCAGCCATCCTCTCACCACGTCTCTGCTATGGCTTCATGCATGGGTAGACCTTTGGAGATCCGTGAAGTCCTTGAATTCCAGGAATCAAGTATATACCACTGGATTGTATACTGTATTTTATACACCCCACTCTAGCGTTAACTGTGCCCAGTCCCACGTCAGTGTACATCCGAACATTCATTGGTGATAACAGAGCCAGTGGGCTAAAATGAAAATTTATCTGAAAAAATCTTATTGAGGCTATGGGAAAGATTACGTTGAAGATACATATTTTCATTCATCTCACCATTCCAAGTAACTATTATGCCGGACTCCACAAAAGTGACACCAGTGGGTCTGAGGTTTCACCGTACACCATTTTTCTGATATTCCTGTTGCCACTTACCCGCTTTGCTAATCGTACCACTTCACCATCCCCACTTATGCTTTTTGTGACCCCGGCCATGAGCCCAACAATCCAAGGCCTCAGCGGTGATTTTAGGCTTTAACTCAATTTGACCGGTCATATGACGCCAACTGCGCTACTCCACCAGATCTTATATCCCGGTTCCTCATTTTTCACCGCTTACACTTTCTTGTCATGTGTCCGGCAAGAAACCTCCTGTTTTCCCCCTCGCTTTGCTTTTTACCCGCCACATTCAACTCCTAACGATCCGATTTTGCTCAATATTATCTTCCAAAACGCACAGCAACTGAGCTTCCATGCCCATGCCTATGTATTACCATAGGGCGAACCGAACACCGGATGTGGATTTGAATTTGTAAAAGAGGCAAGCCGAAATTTTAGCGGAAAACCGGGCTGACCGAATCAGAGCGAAAATTCATCTGGCATGAAAGAACTCGTCCCATAGACGGTTGGGGCCCGCTGAAATATTTGCTCTTAGTTTCGACTACAGGCTCAAGTGTGCGAGGGATTGCGTTCGAGACTATGGAAAAAATAATTACGGGATTACCATCACACTGGAAATGACAGTACCATTCCATCATTGCACTGACATGCTTCAGTTTATCGGCAGTCCCGTAACGTTGTTCAAAGATGCCGCAATCAGGGAGGGGGTACGCATTTCCGCGGCAGTTGGATCTGGGAGGGAGTCAGGCGTATGCAGGGTCGTTGGAGGACCGTGTGTGTGTAGACCGGAGACCCGCTAGATTGAATGAATGACAACTCTACGGGGCGTTTGCGCAACTACAGTCGAATTCCGGGGCTTGTGGAGAGGAGTTCCAAAGGCAATTTGGACTAGACTGATCGGTCTGTTCTATTTGACACGGCTGTCCCGAAAGTTTAAGAACATAAGCCCTTTGTATTCCGAGGCCTCCTAACGTGTAAAAGTATGTGGAGGGCTCTCTTCAACAGATTCGGTACACAGAGCGGTTTACGTCGGGGGTGTGTAATGTACCCATTCATATTGGTGAGCTGATTGATGACATATTGAGACGGAAGCTGAAACATCTTGAAAAGCCTGCCGTTCAGATAGCCTGTGACAAAAACGTTGTCGAACCAGAATGTACAGGCTACACCTTACTCGTATTCGAATGGGAGGATAAGGCGTAATTAAATTTAGAACTGAAAAGAGGTATACTATCTGCTGCACACACAAAATGTAAGGCCATGCTCCTTAACACGCAGCCACTGAACACGTCACTTACAATCCAGGAAGGGGGACTGAAACTTGTGAGCCCTTTGACGTACCTTGGAAGTTTCATTAGTTTTGCTTGTGGTGTAACAAATGAAGTCAATGCACGAATCTTCAAGTCTCGACCCGCGCTCGCTAATTTGGGAAAACTCAAGGAACATTTGTATCAGACCACTGTTTTGTTATGTGGATGTGAGGCCCCGCCTGTTCAAGCAACGGAACTGAAACATTTTCGGTGGTTCATTTGTCCCCTTCCCAGGACGCTAACTGATGTGGGTTGGTGTCGGAGAATCCGTAATAAGACGATTAGTAAGCCACGTTGTTCATTGTTGTTGTTATTGCGTATGCCGAACCACCTCTTATCGAAGAGAATGCTTTTATATGCCCAATCTAGCGTGGCAAAAGCAGGGAATATGTCTACCCTTTAGCCGAAATAAGAACACGAATTACATGGAACATGTGGATGCTGTCGGTGCCAATCACACCCCGTGGTAGGGAATGCCTGACCCCATAGCGCCTGATTGTGGACGCTGCAATAAATAGCTGCCAACCAACGTCAGTGGCATTCATGTTGTCAGGTTCTGCCCAAGCTGCCTGAATGGGTATCTGAACTTGTGAACGCCCCAGAATCCTTGTCGTTGCCTAGCGCTGAATCCATCCTTCGTCTACCTTGATTGTTTCGTTTATAACAAGTTGCTCTAAGAAATCATAGTTGCACGGCTATGGGGAACATCCATCCTTAGCACTGATGTCGTGCTGTCAGTGTTGACGATGGGGCTAGTTACTGACCGAAAAAGGCAACCTGGTGGGTCATTCGTGAAGGGGCATGGATTTCCAGGGGCTGTCGGTTAGTGAGGGGACAAAAACGGGACTAGTGGCATTGTTACGGTGTGTGCTACTTTGATGTGTGTTGAGGGACATTTTCTCTGAGCACTGTGATATGGCAAATTTTTGCAGTCCACACCTTGATCATCATCATTATCAGCGACAGTTAGATCGGGTCGCTCTCTTAGTAGCTCATCTATTAGAATACTGTACGCAGTACTGCGAAAGCGAAAGTAGATTGCAGTTCTCTGAAGGTTGGTCGAGGCCAAAACCCGCATGATTGATGCTGGATAGAGCATCGGAATAGCCTGACTAGCGAGCAGCTCCCAACATGTTACGCATCTGAGACATGGAAGTTTTTAATAAATGGATGATGCTGAATATCTCGGAAGCGTCGGGTTACGGATAAAAGCACGTTGGCTGATTGGTCTTCCAGTAAGGATTCTCTGGTTGGTGAGACTACCACTGAAATTTTTGGGTGGACTCGTTACAAGTTGTGATGAGAACGATGGAGCTGTCGATGCCATTAAGCCACACGATATCTGTAACGGTCGAACGGTATCTTCGAGTGACGCGTAATACCAGAACCTCCGGGTAGGAAAAACAAAGTCGGAGCTGGGTTTCTATACGGCATCATAAGGGGAAGAGAAATTCAAAATCTATACAAACCTCGACAGTAGATAGGCGTCCAAAACAAACAGTCCACTTGGA